CAGGAGCCTCCCTCCAAACCCCACGTTTCAGGGTGCTGGATGTGGGAATACTTATATACATGTATAAATTAATTTATAAATTAATTCTGATCCCTGCTGGCGGCGGTATGAGAAACTGTGGTAACCACTTAGAAACCTTAATGTTTGGGATCCCAAACATTATGTTTGTGGAGTTTTCTTACTTCCTGTTCCTCGTGGCAGTGCTCCAAGCTTGACTTAAAGCTGTTTGTATGCCTCATCGTCCCAATGAGCCTTATCCTCTTTGTCCTCTTTTTTAATCTAGCCATAACATTGAATTCTCTAGACTGCCTGCAGCATTTCTATCAAATATGTTCTCCCTTAAGTCCCTGATACATAATTTCAATGTGTGGCGTTCCGCTATCAAAATATAAGGATAAAAATAACACTAATATAGTTGATAAATGTTATAGTAGTAAAAACGAGAGCTTTTCTTTTAACCTCTTCTTCTAATTAGTGAATATATATTTAAACCCGTTAAAAAGTGATCTAAGCTTGGAGTAAGTTTTGCAGTATTCATTCATTATGTATGCTTCCATACCAAAATATGCCCAAATATGTACAAAAATATAAAAGTCATGCAAATAAAAGTTTAATCCTTGCTTTAACTGCATAAGAGTTTTCAGCCTCAGTAGCAGGACTGTAATCATAAACTTCCAAAATGCTACATTTTACCTGCCTAGTCAAAACCGATATTGCAAATGCCTGCCTTTATAAAGGTTTGCATTTACACTGTCGCATTACAAAAATGCATTGGACTTCTTGATACAAGAATGAAGAAATGAGGTTTTTGGGAGGAATGTTGTAGCAAAACATATATTTGCTTATTTTAGGACATGATATCCACTTCCATGATAAGAAAATTGCTTTACTGGAGGCTGGTCCTAGGAAAGAGTATGGCCGCTTGCCAGATAGTCACAGTAACAGGGTCAGTTCCATCTCCCCAGGTTCAGCAACCCTCCTAAGCAGTAAGTATAATTTCTTTGCATTTTTATTTGCAAACTTGAGCTGGTTTTGTTTTGGTTAAATAAGGCCCCTTTGGGTATGTGCTGCCTTATCCTAAATGGGCCAAAATTGTTTGGTGTTTTCTTTTAGTATTGTACATGCTGAATTGAGGTAATTAAATCAGGCTTCTGTAGTGAATAGGGATCCATGTTCATGGTATCTTACTCTGATTTGTTGCATACGTGTTTATTACATTAGGCCTAAGGTCCTAAGCTGTTCTCTACAGCATCCGGAATGCTCTGTTCACAAAATGGGTATGTGTTTTTCCATGTCCTTAATATTCTGTGATCTGGTAACTCATTTTTCCTGGATGATTTTCTTTTCAAAGGCAGATTTCAACCTTAATTCCTTTTGGAGAAAGAAAAGTTCAGAACAATGACAGCCGTGAATTTCATCTTCTATTTTATTGCCAACTGATAGGACAATGAGAACTGGCTGCACATGTCACAGCACTCCTGGACACCTGGCTTGTCTTTTCTACTGGTTTTGTGTTAACAGCAAAATAATGTGATGCTGGAGCTGTAAAAGTATCGAGGCAGACCTAGCGCTCTCATGGATGGGGAAAGCTGAGTCTAGGCAAGCTGGAAAGAAGTAACCGCTAATAGTCAAGGAGAGAGCTCAGAGTGAACTTCAGTTTTCTTTGGGTCTCAATGTCATAGGTGAACCTGTATCTCAATGCACTTCTGTCCTCTTTCTCTTTTAGGTTTTGGTGCCTGGGATCATGTCTGCAGTCTGAGACTCAAATCATTTCGACGAATGCAGGTGCCTTAATTCTGGCTACAAATATGCTGTGTGTCTATCTAATTTGCATTCTCAGCAATATTTAGACTAACGATCCAAAGCTGATTACTTTGGCAAAGGTCTTTGACAAAGGGCAGGTCATACTCTTAATGATTCCTGTTACTTGTTTTGTTGGGGCAGCCTTCTCAGGAATACGTGTTCGCAAAGTCTTGATGTTAGAGACTGAAAGCTTGATTCCTAATGGAAACTGTAGATATTGAGACAGGGGAACTAATCAGGAAAAAACAAAATAAAGGTAAAGGTGTTAGGGTAGCATTGTGTGTTAATTATGTAACAGCAAGTAGGAAGGAAAGACTTTCTTTTTATCTTTACAATTAGTTTTTGAGATGGATATAGATCATTCTATGAAAGGAACTATGTGATGTGCCTAAATAGCTGGGAATGGACAGTAATCCGGGACATTTTCTCTAGTTCTGTATTTCTAGATTGCCTGGTCTCTTTTGCTGTTATGATGAGTTCTTTGATATCCCTGAAAGAAACAGCACTTATCTACCGTATAGCTTCATTTACTGTATTTTTTCTTTGTAGGTGTGGGATGCTTGTTCGGAAGCCATGATCATTTTTGAGAAAGACAACTTAGATGACATGGGTTACATAGTGGAGAATGATGTCATTATGTCTGCTCTCACAAAACAGTTAGATGCAGTAGCAGGTAGTGCAAAACTTCTTTAATACTTTATTTCCTGCAGAGAGCTTTCAGTGGCTTGCCTTCTGCTGGGTATGCCAAGTTATGAGAGGAGGAAAGAAAATTCATCTAACAAATAACTGAGATCTAGGCAGCTTCTTGAATGGGGTGGGGAGGGAGGAAATCTAACCTCTGTATGGGACTGTCTTCAAGCTGTGTAGCCTGTGTGCTTCTCCAGAACATAGTCCACCAAAATGTAGATGTAATGAAAGGATCTGTAGCTTTCTATCCAGAGCAGCCTTTGGAGTGGCGAAGGGTTGGCCAGATCTATTCTTTCTGGGTGTCCTGTAATATGCAGGGTCAGCTATTAGTATGCCATTAAGACGTGTCTAGCCCTTTGCTGTTACAGTGATATCTCCTTTTTTTTTATGACTGTATCATGCTGTGACTGTGGTACTTTGTGTTCCCATCAGACCGGGTGGAGGTTTTCTACGGGAGCAGAGCAGTCGGGTATACCTGGCCCCTTTCCTATCACAGCTGTGACACAAGCCCTTGGGTCCAAATTGAGTTAGCTGATGGACGCAGACTTCAGACCAAACTGCTGGTAACTAAACTTTTTATTTCTGTTGATCAGGCACCATCTCTTGCCCAAGTCCTTTCTACTGGATTTGGTTCTGATTCCGTGTGTGCCGCTCCACCCACGTGGAGGGCTTAAGCGAGGTGAGTGGCTAACTCTGTCAGAGACGCTAAGAGACGCACAGTGCGTAGTGTTCTCTGAACCTGATGCAGGAAGACTGCACTGAATTGGACAAGAGCAGAAAGGGCCATGTGTTCTCGTTTCTGGGGAGTCTTTTTTTTTTTTTTTGCTTTGGAACAAACAAAAAAAAAAGTCTACGTGCAGAATGGGGTTTGTGGCCTGTAGTACTGGCTTTTTTAGGATCAGTTGATGAAATAGCCTTTTATCTCTTTGTTTTGCAGATTGGTGCAGATGGTCATAACTCTGTTGTCCGGAAAGAAGCTGAAATTCAGAACATTGAGCATCGGTATGACCAGTCAGCTGTGGTGGCTACTCTTCATTTGTCTGAGGTGAGATTCTGCAAACTGGCTCTTCTGTAAACAGCAGAACAGCTGAAACAGAGGACACCAGATGTCTAGTTCTTAACTGTCTCCTTGCTTCTTTGCACTACAGGCCACAGACAATAACGTAGCATGGCAGAGGTTCCTTCCCACAGGGCCAATTGCACTTCTCCCGGTAAGGTGCTTAGTGACCTCTGTGTTTTTCACCTTTCAGTCTGTTCTTTTCTAGTAACTTTACTTCTGTCTATGCCTTGCTATGTTGGTCCTGACTGTTAAGAGTTTGTCTCTCTGCCTTAAACTTTTCATTTATAGCTTTTGTTTTCTCCTCCCGCCCTCTCACTTTGCCCTTTGTGTTTCCCACTTGTAGCAATGTGTGCTGGAAAAGTAACATGCGGATGGATTGCTGTGGGGAGGGGATTGGGGAAATTCTTGCATTGATTGGGGTTTTTGTTTCTTTTTCTCTTGATCCTGACCCCTGAGGTTTTCTTAACTAGCTCTCTGACACTGCCAGCTCTTTGGTTTGGTCTACATCACATGAACATGCATCAGAACTTCTCACTATGGATGAGGAAAGTTTTGTCGATAGCATCAACTCTGCCTTTGTGAGTATCAGCCTCGTAGATAGGAGGCCAACTTTGCAATTGTGAGAAATATGATAGAATCCTACAACTTAAAGAATAGCAAAGGGAGAGGTGGATTCTTAAGTTCCTTCCTATGGAGAGGGTGATATTAGAAATGCACTTAGCAAAGAAAGGATGATCCTTTATAACTGAATTTAGTTCTGAAAGTCACAGTAGGAACTGAGCTAACTTTCCAAAAGATGGGAAGGGTAGGCTTTTCTTGGTTGGAGGCTTATATGTCCTGAAGTGTTGAAGACGATTCCTTCTAATATGTGAGCGGTTAAAATTCAGTATTTGGAGCGAGCTCAAATTCTTCTGTATGTCCAGTTTGGGGTAAAATCTAAAGCTTGCTTTTTTTGGCCTCAGTGGAGCAACGCAAACCACACTGATTTCATTGACGCTGCCGGGGCCATGTTTCGATCTGCTATTTCACTCCTGAGGCCTTCGGGGACTGGAGTCCGTCAGCTGCCCCCAAGTGTTGCCAAAGTAGATCCCGAGAGCCGAGCCATGTTCCCTCTTGGAATGGGGCATGCAACAGAGTATGTCCAGCACCGTGTGGCCCTTATCGGGTAAGGTCTCCCATGTAGCCTTTGTGTGAGTGGGTGGCGCAGGTAGGATGTTAGCATAGCGCCTCTGGCGCTGTAGCTAGTTGCATTTCTTTTCCCATTTAACAAATTAGATGGTTAGACATGCATTCCTGATTTCAGTGTGACTTTATCCAGGACCAATTTATATCATTTGCTCGTGTGAACAAAGTCCTGTTGTCTGCGTAGCTCTCTGTCCCTTGTATGTGCTTTTGATGTAATTTGGGAGGTAATAATTTTCCCTTTCTGGATTTTTCAGTGCAGTAGAACAACCTCATGATGGAACTTACTTCTCCAAACATCATAGAAGCCATTCTCCCTATCAGTTTGAGTTTTGAACTTACTTTTCTTGAACACAAATGACAAAATTTACAGATTATTCCAAATGGGATGTCATAGGCTCTTGTACAATGGTCTACAGAGAAGGGAAAATACCTCATCTTTTACATTCTAAGGTTGCATGTGCTTTTTTTTTTTTCTTTTTCATCCCATAGCTGTAGTACACTGGTAGCTTATAGCAGTCCTTGGATGTCATCTTATACCTCAGATACTTCTTTTGTTTCCAACTTGTTAGCCACTGCTTTATGTCTTGTTAATGGTCAAGTGCATGATCTTACATTTCAAGCTCAAATTTCACCTTGTTTCTCTAACTTTGACTCCCTTATCAGTGTGTCTGGCTTTGTTCTTTACAGATAAGCACAAAATATAATCTTTTCAATATCCCATTTTGTGTTTATGAAATATGCTGATGATATTCTTCCTGTTGTGCCAATGTCACTTAGAAAAAATATCAAGGCCTGCTCCATGCCTGATCTGACAGAAGACTTTAGCGAGTCACCTCTTGAAAACTATTCCTTTCAGGGCTGCTTTTTGTTATCTCCCTTTTTATCTTGCTTCTTACAACTGGAGAGGCAGTCAGGTAGTTCAGTGTAGCATGCAAGAGGTACTGGAGAAAACGTATACAATGCTGTAAGGTGGTGTTTATTGCAAAGACGTGAGAAGTGCTGTACTGATCCCTTCAGGGGCTTGTCAGAGGAGGAAACTAAGGACTGTTATGGCTTTCTTCAAAAAAAGGGATATAAATTTGTCTTCTCTTGCTCTAGGGATGCAGCGCATAGAGTCCACCCACTTGCAGGACAAGGTGTAAACCTGGGCTTTGGTGATATTGCATGTTTAGCACACCACCTCAGTGCAGCAGCCTTCAGTGGGAAAGATCTGGGTAAGGATCCAAGACAATGAAGCGGCAATAAGATCATTAGTCTTACAGGCCTTCGCTGCTAACATCAGTGCAAGGGTTATTTCTGTTTGAGCCTTAGATAGGTTAAGCATGCTGCCATCTTGTGTCTGAATGGCACAAGCACCTTTGAAGCAAAACTGTTCTGAGGTCCATTCGTTGTGGACAGTTAGATTCTTGCATGCAGTTTCCATCCCAAAAATCTCAAAGCTGCTTTAAAAAAAAAAAAAAAAAGTTCTGCTGGATGGTAAAGGGGTGAGATGAAGGTAGGCTGGCTGGCTGACTGACATCTTTGCTAAGATGAACCATTTTTCTGTTCTCTTTCTGTGTTTTCAGATGTCTGTGGAGACAGCTATATAGATGAGATGCACAATTGTTTGTGGCAATTTAATTTTAATATGGATATTTATCTTTTCTAGGCTCCTTAAAACATCTCTTAACATTTGAGACAGAACGTCAGAGGCATAATGTCTCTTTGATAGCTGCTATTGATGTGTTAAAGAGGCTTTACTCCACAAGGCTGGCTCCCTTGGTGTTGCTGAGGACATGGGGATTGCAAGCAACAAATGCCCTGCCTCCTCTCAAAGTAAGCCTTACATTAGTGAGGGCCATACAAAAATTTCAAAATTACTCTTTAAACTTCCACAAACTGATGAGGGTTTTTTAAATGAAACATCTTGGTTGGAAAATGTTAACTTGTTCAAACTGAGGTTTTGTGTCCAGAATGAGCCTGAGGAATTCCTAAATAACTGATGGCTCAGTAGTTACGGGTTTCTCCTGCAGCAGGGAGAGAGGCTTGGGATCTGAGTGTCTGTTCTCTGTATCCTGATTGATAGTAACTGCCTTTTTTTTCCTCCCCTCTCTTTCCGGCTCGCAAAATGTTTATTTGTATGCAGTTGAAACATTAACTAGCATACGTGAAGAACAGGGACTAGAAAGAGATTGTTTACCTCTGTTCAAGCTAAGGCACTACCTTCATGTGTCTTGGGGAGAGGTAGTCTCTCGTTAGAAGTCTTGGGCTTTATTTTGCTGTGGAGCGAAAACCTGGACTCTCGAAGTGCATTTCAGAAATGCACTATGAAAAAGCAGCTCTATGAAAAAACAGTGAAGAACAAGACATTAGGTGACTTGACAGATCTGGCGTGCAGCTGAAATCAGTATCTGTTTCTATGCTCTTTGCCTTGCTAAATTGTTCTCTCTTGGCTGAAGTGCAAGGCTCATGAAAGTTACCAGGCATTGGCAAGGAGGTTCAATCTTAAACACAAATTATTTTTCTGTGTGCAACCTTGCTGCCTAATTTCCACAAAGCCTTGACCTAATTGTGATTTCATGGTGTTCACTGAGGGTGCCTGCAAGTTTTGAGAGCAGGTGGCTTAAGTTAGATTCGTCAGTTCTGGATTTGACTGTTTTATTCCCCCAGTCAAGTGACCTTTTTTGTATTAGATGCAGGTGGCATGTTTTTCTTGAGTTATGTCACAGTAAGATACCAGATGAATGGAAGAGCAGTAATTTCTCAGAGTACAGTAGCTGCCACTGGAAAGGTGTCTATTAGTTGTACTAAAAGAGAGCAGTATGCTGCTGCTTCAGTGCTCAGTATTTTTTCCTATTTCTCTGTTCAAAGCAAAAAAACAAATGAAGAACTCTCTTGTGAGCACAGAACCTGTCAGCAACCCCTCTGTTTTATGCAGCTCAGGAAAGAGAAAGGAATGCTGTGACTTCTTTAACTTAGTAGTATAGAGGGATAGTTGCTCTGCGTCTGATTAAAAAGGCTGAGAAAGAACTGTTGCCCATATGGGAAGGGGAAAGAAACGATACATTCTAGAAAGCAGTTATGTTTATTATTAGTTTACAAATTATTTTTCTCCTCTGCCTTTTTAGGAACAAATCGTGGCTTTTGCCAGTAAGTGATTTGCTGTCAACTTGGAACTGCAGCTTGTCAGTGAATGCATTACCCTTAAAAGGACTATGACTGACTTAAATCTCTGAAAGGTGTTATTTTAATTTAACAATAAAAGTGTGGAGTGAGCTGTGTTTTGCACCATCCACTGGTTTATACAGAAGTTCTGTCTCATCTGCTTGCTCTTCTCAAGAGGATGTGGGTTTTCTTCCTATGGTACCATAACGTCTTCAGATATTGAACTGTCTTTTGCGTCTTAATTATTTTCAGTGTTCCCTGACGTGATTTCTGAAGCTATTAACATCACTTCTGGCTTCTGACCACTTCCTGGACTCAGAAGGGAGGGATAGGTTACAGCAGAAGAGAGTCAACACAGGATATCAGATTATTTTTTGAAGCTCTGTTCTGTCTCTGTTTCCTGTGCCCTCTTCCCTGCCATGCTCTTGGTACTTTCATAGGGAGTGTTTCTTGGGGAAGTGGCCGGTCCTAAGGGTTCTCCAATACTACAAAAGAGATGCAAGACAACACTAACATAGGAAAGAAAACTTCACTACACCGTCTTGAATAATGTTAAAAATGCTTTAATTACCAAAATAGACATTCAAGAAATTCTGTCTTAGGTTCCAAACACCAGCCTCCTGCATTAGACATTTGAGTCTCTCAACATTGAGTAATGCTAATGGGCAAGACTTACATGTACAGCTAACCAGTATCAGGAATTAACATTACAAGGAAGAATTAAATACAAGTTTCAGAGTGAAAGACTGTCTTGTGCGTCTTCAGTCACTCACATTAAGCAGTTCCTGTTAGTGACTGGCTAAGAGACATTACAGAAAAGGAGATTAAAACAAAAAACCAAAACCCCCCACACAATGATGCAGGTAGAACTTTTCTCTTACAAAGCTGCTAATCTTTAATTAAGCTAATAAATAATCTCATTGCACTAGGTAAGTGTGAGGACTTGACTGGCTTCTCTAGTTCCCCAACGCACCATGGGTAATTCAGATGTAAACAGTAGGGGCTCAGTTCTACAGTTTCTTGCAAAAGAAACCTTCAAGTTGAGTTTTTCTTTCTCTGACTGCAGATCAGGCCCCTGATTGAGAGCAGCAGTTATGCTTCAGTTAATGAATTGTGCCACTGATAAAATGAAGGCCCTGAGCATTCAGATTTAATGCAACTTTGGTACAGGAAAGCAGATGCTGCCACCTAGCATTTGCAGTTCCAGAGTCTGAGGCAAAGAACACAGAAAAGAAGCTTGCTCTGCATGTCTTGTTCTAGTCCATCCTTCCTTCAGACAAAAACAAACCCTTAAGTATTCTTCAGGGCTAGTGTATATTCAGTTGGCAGATACGGTGCTGCTGCTTGTCCCTTACATACAACCTTTCCTCCCGTTTCAAATACAGCCTCACTGCTTATGGCTCTTAGCCCCAAGATCAAGTAAGAGAATTTGTCATAGCACTGGCTCAGACCGAAAGAAGGCTTTTAGATTATTAAATTAGCTAGTTCTCAGGAGTAATACAGCTTGGCTATTTACCACTGCATCCTACTTGTATTCTCTCAAAATACAAAGCAGAATACAATTGTTCACTCAACAAAAAATGAATACCTTTGCAGAAACCTTGTTGTGGAGACCAGCCCACATACTAAATTTTGCCAGATACCAGGCAGGGCAATAAGAAAGGTTTTGTGGTGGAGAAGAGGCCAACCTCAGGCTGGACTCCGCAACTGCTTTCCTTCATGCTCCAATAGAAGCTCCTAGTGAGGAAGGAAAGTTTGATGTGGCACAGAAGAAATTATCAACAGTAACCTCAAGACAAACGCTGGTAAGGAGGAATAAAGGTAGGATGCTCAGTTACTATTTTCAAAGAAACAACCCGCATTTGCAGGAACATGTCAGAGGTGGGATAAGTGCAGGTAGTGCCATGCCCTTCCCTTGCAATCCTGTTGCTGACTGAACTTGTTCAAAAACATGTGTTGCACCTTAGCCCTATAAAATCTGAAATATGAGAAGGGGGGGTAGTTTAATAAGCCACACAAACACTACAGGAAATGGACTAACAGTCACAGTAAGGCAACTTTTAAGTCTTCAGATTGCTTGGCAAGATTACTTTGGGCATGAGCGCACTATTTCCTCTCCTTGCTGGGAACTCCCAGTTGTTTTCAAATCCAGTTTGGAGAGAAGACAGTGTTTGGGTAGCTTTGAGTTTTACAGAAATGAGAGGTGTGTTATATAATATGGATTAGTGCAAATACCTGACAGCAACAAAGTGTTCATTGCAAGAGATCTGCAAATTAAAGCTTCATTTAGTCATGTGAGCGGTAACAGCTCTAGCTCTCTGTGCTTAACATCGGGGCAAATTCATCTGTAAGTTAATGTTCCATGTTGAATAGAAGGTATTAATTTTTTGCTAAATATGAGCAAACTGATAAGCTCGCTACCAACTATTTCATGGGGTGGAAAAACTATCTTGACAGTGGTTTCTAATCAGGACAATGTAAGGACTGGACTTGGAGCCTCAAAGTATTCTAGGCATCTTGCTCTTCTCTACAGCTGACCATACAAGAAAAATAAAATCCTGTCTGACAAGATGCCTTATTTAAAACATTGCTCTCTCATTGCTTTTATGTATTAGCTTTAAAACGGATGGAAAGGGTCACTCTAAAATATTATTCAAATAGCTTCATGCTATCCTGCCAGAAGTCCTGGGCTTGGGTAAGAATGCTAAACAGTTGCAACCCTTTCCTTGGATGCCCTGTTTCTACAGCCCTGCTGTATATATTAAAAATAGGCCCAGAGCAATGCATGGCTGCATACAATGTGCTATGCATGTTCCAGCCAGGCTTTCTCTGCACACTGTTGCCTAACTTTGCTATGGGTCCAACTCCACTACGTTAAATTAAAGGGAAATGGAGTTTAATTTACAGTTTGCTCTACAAATTAAAACAGACTAAGGGACTGAACTTTCAAATGCTAATGTGAAGAAAACAGAGCTACTTCTGCTTTTGTTCTCCTGTGCTGTTTCTGATGTTAATTCCTCTCACTCCCTCTTCTCATCTATTAAGCAAGTGAAAAAATATGCTCTGTTTCAACACAGCTGTGTATCCAGAGGAGGTTCCTAAGGAGAGAGCAGTAAGGGATGAAGTAAGGCTTCCAGATGGGAAAACGCCACCTTGGAGTGTATTCAGACAAAACGGGCTGTGGTGTTCTAACAGCTCACTGCCGCAGAAGGTCCCCCAGGCTTTGCAGTGCCCTCTTTCTCTTATGCTAGCACTGGCCTTGACCCTTTGGTGAGCTGATTTAACTCAAGTGTTGTGTCATGAGTTGGTTCACCGAAGGGCTTGAGGAGCACCAGAATCAGAGGAAAGGAGGCTGGGGGAGTACCTCGCTGTGAGAAGAGAAACAAAACTGCCTCTCACGGCAAAGTGAGCTATTAGATCAGCCATTTCATCTGACTGCACCCTTAATTTCCCTGTGGGTATAATGTATCAAGCATTTCTTTTGGCAGCAGAGTTGAAATATCTGGCACTGCTACTTTGTTGTGCCAGCACAACTGTGCGTTATGACTACATGAAATGGATCAAGTTATCAGCTCTGGCAGTCAGATGTACTGTATGGCTGCACAGACTTGTGTAATTAATGGGCAGCACAAATGGTAGGGACATGAAAAGCAGGGGTACATATTCTGCTTAAGACACTTCTGCTGCCTAAAGAAACGGTTGTTAAGTTACAACCCAACACCTTTCCGAAATCCACGCCCAAGGCGTGCTTAGCGCAGATCCCTTGAAAGACTGGAGCCTTCTTGTAATGTATTAGTTAAGCTAACAGCCAAGTACTTTGAACTCTAAGCCTGGCAGCATCTAGGGAAGCTCACTTTTCTCTGAGTGACTGTTGATGCCATCTTTAATTTCTATATTTAAGGTCTCATGAACAAACTTTAGTTCTGTGTGTTTAAAATGAAAGGGAGGGGAAGAGAAAATCAAATGTCTGTAGTCTACCACCACATGCCAGGCACTGTGTGCTTTTAGCAATGGGATGCCTATACAAATGTGCTGGTGAAAGCTGTCTCTGAGCCCCTTGCATACAATCAACTTTAAGATACTCTGATAAGAGTTCAGGCCTTTTGACTTTCAGAAGGCAGCTTCTGGATCATTTATGGCAATCACAATTATAAATCATACCGTGGCAGCTCTCATTTTGCAAACGTCAATCCTGGGTGAAGATTTGTTCTACAGCTTTGGTCCATATTCTGCTCTGTGACTGACTCCAGCTGAGCAATGTACCTGAAGATTTCAATTTTCTTTCTCCGCCTTTCACTCTGACAGGAGTGTCAGAGCTCAATAGGTTATCCCCAGAGACTGCAGTAAGTGAAAAGTAGCACCCAAAGTCCAGCTTGTCTCTATGTTGTTCACTTTCTTTGTTAACTATAAGGGAAGAAAAGTCAGTCATTTCCAACAGTTCTCTAGATCCGCAGGTTGCCACAGATCACAGCAATTACATGCAACCACTATGAAACACCTTGGTAGCTAGTAGGCCAGAAAAATGAACCAGTGCACCTTGGTTGATAGAGAAACTGCAAAGCCAGCTTTGGGGTTTAACTGTTTTTCTTACCTGTAAGAGTGTGCTGTCCCTAAATCCAAAACCTTCTTTTAGTAAAGCAGTGATGTACGCGAGATCCATGCACAGGAAAGGACTGGCTGAGTTGTACCTCTCCATGTTATCACAGACTACAGAAGGAAGGGCAGGGGGGTGAAGGGGGGAAGAAAAAAAGTAACTCATCAAAATAAAGGAACTTCTGTCTAAATTATATATTTGAATCAACCTCAAGCCAAAACCTACTAAACACAAGCCTCCCACTTTGATTAGTGGGTACATATAACTACACATCTGTTCTTTAAAGGTGGAGAGTCAACTATATAGTACTTTTAATTTCTTTTAACCCCATTCTAAGAACGCCTTTTATTACAACAACATAATCCACATAGCTCTGTTGATGTCTGAACCTCTATTCAACTGATAACTGGCACGAAAAATATTACTTATTTTTCCAAGAACACAGCATCCACACTAGACCATCCAACACTAGAACCACACAAGTCCAAGCATGTAAGAGCGTATTGCCCAAACAACCACTCACTTGCTGTAGCTAAGTCAAGATTCCACAGTAAAGGTTAGTGACTAGGAAATGGATTTATACTGAGCATCATCTTCCAGACCTACTGTTACTGCCTTGTTCTACAAGGATCAACAGCATAGTTCATTTCTTTTTGGAAACTGTTAAGCAGCAGCTTCCTACTATAGGAGTGAGAAAGGAGCGTTAATTTAGGATCACAGGCTTGATCTCTTAATGTTCTAAAGCTAAATATATGCCTTTATGCTGTAAAATGGATTAGTCTAGCAAACAGCTATCATATCTCAGTTTCAGCAAGTCAATCAAAAATTCAGATCTAGTTTAATGTGTTCTCAGAAAGTCTCATTTTCAAGGTCTTGCTTGAGAATAACATGCTTGCATAGGTGTGCTAATCTAGAAAAACTATGAACAAAGCTCACCCAGTCCCTAAAGGGTATGCTTTGAGTCAATTACTAATTGTAATCAACTTGAATGTGTTCAAGTTAGATACAGCTTAGCTGAACCTTTGGAAATAAACTCTCTGAGCATCTAAGGGGGAAAAAAATCCCTCAAACCTTAGCACCAAATTCCCCTATTCAAAACCATCTGAGTTACTTGGGAGATCAAATTTAACTGAAAAAATCATTGGGATTTAGGTCCTACATCACTTCAATATTTTAGAAGAGCTCAGCCTCAAACCATAACTAAGCATCTTCTGATGACAAATATGATCTACTAATCATCATCAGGATGATCAACCTTCAGAGGTAACGACTGTTCTTTAAGCTAACTTTTAGCCATCAGGAGCACAGCACTGAATTTTGGATAGACAACTTCAGCAAAAATCCCACTAGCTTTGTAAACGCTGAATTCAAGTTTCAGGAAGGTGGGAGATCATCTTTTCTCAAGAGAAGACACAAAACTAGAACAACTATTTAGGAAAAGAGAGTCAGAGACAGGCAAGGAAGGGAATGCAGAAACCATTCTTAAATGACCTGTACTCTCTTGTTCTCTCTCTCCCTCTCTCCATTTTGTTAGAAATTAAAAAGAATTTAAAGTGACAGATTAACAAAAGTCAGTGTTCTCCTAAATTCAGAGACCTGCAGTTTGGCAGAAGGTCTTGATTACAATACAGCAAGTTCAGTTTCTTTTGTGCTGATAGTTATGAACAAAAAAGCACCCCCCCCCGCCCCTCCCCGAACAGGAATGTGAAGTAGCTAACACTTTTTGTCCCCCTCACTGTTCTTCAGTGCTGTCTCCTACAATGGTTACAGATATTGACTAATAAAAGATGGGTCACAGGACAGGGAGGTATAAGTGGAATAGTGGTTATATATATATATGTATATATATATTTTTTTGTTAAACATTATGCACTGCATATAGATATTTATATTTTTATTGATTTCTCCTTCCCACCAGCTTCCCAGATCTCATGACAATTACCTTCTTTGGCTTTTCTTTCAAAATCTCTCACTTCCAAAACTCCTCCCTCTTCATAATCTAAAAAGGAAGAGGTGAGAAGACACCATCACAGACTTGAAAGCATTTGAGTTCTAAACTTAAATTGACCTTGGAATGTAACTCAGTGAGGTTGGGCTGGGAGGAAGGTCTGCTGGTTACAGAGGACAGAGCTGCAAGTATAACTGGATCTCAGAGCACAAGTCTCATCTGCTGAACTCTGAACAACAAACTGCGCTGAGGGATACATATCCATTCCCTGAAGGTGTCTTGTACGTTTCGTTTTTCTGAATACCTTTCCTTTTCCCTGCTCCCCATAGATCCAGCCTCCAGTGTTCTTCTGTCTATGTTTGGTAGGTATGCTCACACATTACCCCAAGCCAATTTACCAATCAGGTTGGTGTCAACAGCTCGATCATAGTAATAGGAGAAAGCGTAGAAGGAGCTTCCACGAATCTCATCTGGTTGGTGCAGTTTCCCTTTGACGACCTTGAGTACTTCCAGGTAGCAAGGCTTGAATCCCGTTTCTCCTGTCAGGACAAACACAGACAGCAGTAAGCCAAACAGGGTAAGCCAAAGAGAAGTATCAGGACGTGGAAGAATCAGTGACAACAGGATTAAAACGAAGAAGCAGAGATTAAAGAATCAAAAGAGGTGAAAAGACTTTAGGTATCCTTTCTGTAGTGCAGCATAGAACCTGGATGCAGAAAGGACCATCAAGTGGTACTCATTAGAGAAGATCATAGTAACCTCTGAAAGGTGCAGTAAGCAGACTAGTGCAGGTGCACAAAAAGCTCCCTCCATACATGGCAAGGCTCCCACTTATATTTTGTGGTCAACAGAACT